CACACAGCGGAACACTATGCATCGCTAAAGAACAGTGACCAGTCTGTGCGATGCTTCATGAGACGGGCGGATTGTGAGGGCGTCATCACCACTTCTCTGTCAGTTTGTCCGACTGTGGTGGCTTGTGTGCTGCTGGGTTGCTAGAAGCTATGTCGCTGTTATTTCAGATGCCATTGGGCCCACAGTGAGCAGGTTTCAGCAGAGCTTCCAGACCAAGAACAGACGGTGAGGACGGAATCAACTGCCCCTTTCAGAGGAAGCAGCTGCCCCAAACCTTACACGTGGCGTGGAAACTCCGTCAGAGAGGAAGCCCGACGAGGAGCAGACCGTGCCGCAGGTGGTGCCAGAGGGGGGCCACTCGGGACAGAGGGCACTCGAAACGTGACTGAGGGGGAGCTGCTTCTGCAAAGCGGACTCAACTGTGGTGACGTGAATGAGGAAAGCCCACAGAAAGGGGGCCTGTGGGATCTTCTTTTGCTGAAGGAGCACACCGCAAGGGAAGAAGAAATAGTTGCCAAAAATCTGCTACTAATCAGAACTAAGAATGTATCCAGTATGAATCGGGTAAATTGGAAGTCATCAAAAATGAAAAAGAATGCATAAAGACTGATATTCTAGGCATCTGTGAGCTGAAATGGGCTGGTATTGGACATTTTGAATAAGCAAATCATATGACTTACTATGCAGAGTATAACACAATCAAGAAGGACTCGTACTGCAATCATTGTCAAAAGGGCATTTCAATGTAAACCTTGAATTATAATGCTGTGATAGAAGTATATTTATCTGCTTTTAAGGAAATCCAATCCATGTAACTATGATGGGGAAGGCCAATATCAGCAGTTAAAATGAGGCCGGGGCTGACAGCAGAGCAGACAATCAATTGCTCAGACGTAAGTTCAGAATACAACTGAAGAAAAGCAAAACAAACCACAAAAGCCAAAATACAACCGAGTCTGTCCCACTTGGATTTCAGAACAGCTCAAGAGCAGATTTGAGACACTGAACACTACTGACAGAAGACCTGATGAACTGTGGGAGGGCACCAGGAACATCGTTCATGAAGAAAGCAAAAGGTCAATAGCAAGACAGGAAAGAAACCAAAGGTCACAGTGGATGTCAGAAGAAACTCTGAAACTTGCTCTTGAAAAGGAAGAACACACTTAGCATTCCTTAAACTGAAACTCAAAAAAAAAAAACATTTCAAGCCCTGAGTTGCAATATTCAAAGATTCTGAGGAAAATATTGAATGATGCAGGAAGCATCAAAAGAAGGCAGAAAGAATACACAAGAGACACTGTATCAAAAAAAAGAAACTAGTTGAATCAATCAGAATAGTGTCTGGGGTCTTAAAGTCCACACAGAAGCGCACCAGCTTGTCTCGATCAGCCGTACTGTCGGGCAGAGACCATTATAACCTGGATTATGCTGATCACACTCGACACTAGGTCAGTTGACCACCCTCTTGACACAGTTGAATTTGTTCTGGACGCAAGTATCTCTTACTGGTTCCATGACAGAAATTTCTTCCCTGGCTTTTTGAATGTTGATGGGAGTGTCTTTTCCCTCTTCCCCATTATTAATATTTTTGTCTGTGCACTACTATGTTTTTACCCTTACCACCTTAGTGCAATTTTGTGTTCTATTGTCTTCTGTTGGATCTCCCAGCTGTGAAGCACAGCAGTGGATACATAATGATAATAACGGACACAACTGGATATAGAGAATACAGGGCTGGGGTGGGGGTCAGGAGGGAGGGAGGGAAAGGGCATTATGGAAGTAACTAATGAAGATGGGAGTGGGGAGGGAGCTGATACAAGGGCTCAAGTAGAAAGAAATTATTTCTGAAATGTTGATGGCAACATATGTACAAGTGTGCTTAATACTATTGAATAATAGATTGTTATAAGATTTTTAAGAGCCCCCCCCCAATAAAATGATTAATTAAAAGAAATGCTTTGAAAATGAACACAATTCTACCTTACACATCCAGCTAGACCAGAGCATATCCACTGGGGCAGATAAGAACTGGAAACACAGGGAACCCGAGACAGGACCACTAATGAGAATAGATACCAGGAGGGTAAGGGGTAGGTGGGGGGAGGAATGGGGAACCAATCACAATGATCTACATATAACCCCTTCCCAAGGGGATGGACAACAGAAAAATGGGTGAACAGAGACGGTAGCTGATATAAGACATGAAAAAAAATTTATAAATTATCAGGGGTTCATGGGGGAGGGAGGGAAGGAGCGGGGAAAATGAGGAGCGGATATCAAGGGAAGATATCTTAAAAATGATGATGGCAACACATGTACAAATGTTCTTGACATAATGGATGGATGGATGGAGGTAAAAGCTGTAAGTGCACCCAATAAAATGATTTATTTAAAAAAAAGAAAGAAAATTATGATGGCAACATATGCACAAATGTGATTGATACAACTGATGTATGAATTGTTATAAAGAGTTGTAAGAGCCCCCAATAAAATGATTTTTAAACACCATTTAAAATGAAAAACAAAAACCACTACCTCTACCACTCAGGGAATTCCATGACTATATTTTAGTATCATGAGTTTCAAAAAGTTCGTGGAAAAACAGAATTAAAAGATAATGATATTTTTCCATAAACTTTTTTGAAGCTCCCTGTACTGAAGTGACGTGACTTGGTAAATGACTCGGTGATGCTTTGAAATTCCCAACAAAAGACTACTGGGCGCATGCAAACGAGGTGGACAAGGCTCTGCCTCAGGAATCGGTCAGTTTTGCCATTTTTCTGGGTAGAAAGTGAGCAATTTCCAAAGCAGGAACAGAGAATTCCACAACCACCGAGAGAGAGAAGTTTGGAGTGAAGTATCCCTGCCTGGTGAGGTGGCCGAGTAGCGGGACCAAGACCAGGAGGCAGAGCAGCCAGCTTCCCAGTCCAAGTAAACATGAGAGCCAGCAGGCAGGCAGAGCCAGGCTTGTAGAGGGAGGAGCCCGGCGAGCATTTATCAGAGCTTTCACCACTTGCCTGCACAGGGCAGCGGTCAAGGGGTTTCATAGCAGGGGTCAAGGATCAGAATGTGCTTGACTGACACACTGGAGACAGAACAGTATCCTTAGCTTCCCTGACAGGGACTTGTCATGTTAGCTTCTGTAATCAGGCCATAACCGTGAGTACCAGCAGTGAGTTCCGTATGAGCGTGGTGACCCAGCAGAGAAGCGGAGAGTCATGGGAGGGCAGGTGGGGTCAGAAGAGGAGAAGAAAGGTATCCTCCGCCTCCCAGGAATTATTGTGGGCAAGTGTGCACTTACATTCCCTCCCCCTTACGGAGCCATTTCCTTGCCCCTTGATAGATTCGGGATTTCCTGGCATTCCATAAGGAGCAGCTAGTACTTTTGATTTTTAAGACTTTTTAAAGCTTGACCTTTTTTTTAGTCTTGCTTTTGTTTTAAAAGAAGGCCAAGCCCCATCTAGCTCAGAAGCAACAAAGCCCACGTGGAAGAAACACACCACCCTGTGTGATCACGAGGTGTTGAAGGGATCAGGTATCAGGCATCTAAGAACAAAAAAAATCATATCATTGTGAATGAGGGGGGGAGTGCAGATTGAGGGCCCAAGAACCATCTGTAGGCAACTGGGCAACCCCTTACAGAAGGGCTGCGGGGAGGAGATGAGCCAGTCAGGGTGCAGTGTAGCAACAATGAAACATACAACTTTGATGAAACATATAACTTTCCTCTAGTTCCTAAATGTTTCCTGCACTACCACCACCACCATCACCACCACCACCCCCCAACTATCATGATCCCAATTCTACCTTACAAATCTGGCTAGACCAGAGGATGTACACTGGTACAGATAGGAAGTGGAAACAGGGAATCCAGGACAGATGATCCCTTCAGGACCAGTGCTCAGAGTGGTGATACCGTGAGGGTGGAGGAAGGGTGGGGTGGAAAAGGGGAAGCCATTACAAGGATCTACATATAACCTCCTCCCTGGTGCATGGACAACAAAAAAGTGGGTGAAGGGATACATCGGACAGTGTCAGATATGACAAAATAATAATAATTTATAAATGATCAAGGGTTCATGAGGGAGGGGCAGTGGGGAGGGGAAAAAATGAGGGGCTGATACCAAGGGCTCAAGCAGAAAGCAAATGTTTTGAGAAGGATGATGGCAACAAATATACAAATGTGCTTCACACAATGGATGGATGCATAGATTGTTATAAGAGTTGGATGAGCCCCCAATAAAATTATTTTTAAAAAAGAGGGCCAAGTCAAACCCACTGCCAACTGTTGGGTGGATTCCAAATTACAGTGACACTCTAGGCAGAGAAGTACTGCTCCTACAGGGTTCTCAAGACTAAATATGTACAAAGTACAATGTTGCAGCTTTCTCCCAAAGAGCAGTGGGCAGATTCAAACCACTGACCCTCGGTTAGGGACCAAGAGTTTTAACCAATGCACCCCCAGGGCTCCTCTGAAAGAAAGTGGCATCTATGAAACCTTTAAGGCAGTTAAGCTAGACTACAAATACGGAAAAACGCTTAAGGGTCATCAGGAAAAAGAAAAAGAGAAACAAGTATACAAATGTGGGTTAAAAAGGAAACAAGCTACAAATGGTGCATTCATGCAAAACAAAGATGGAAAAGTAAACCATCAAGGGAGCTCTCACAAAGAATCAAGAGCCAGCTAGACATTAAAAAACCACTGATATTCAAACCTCACCAACTCATGGCGACACTACAAACAGGTGGAACTGCGCCAGTGGGTTTCTGAGACTGTAACTCTTTACAGGGGTAGAAAGCCTCCTCTTTCTCCCTCAGGTGGACAATACTACTGGACATAAACATGTTTTACAGTAAAGTGAGCATGTGGAAGTATTTTTCAATTCCATAAAGACAGTACAACCTCATACCACATCAAAGTCTAATTGCCAACCACCGATCACAGAATCTTCAGGGCAATTCAGGAAAGGTGCTCTGGAAGGCAATAAACTAACACATACCCTTATTATCCTGGCAGCCTCCAAAAGGATTCGGCCCCGCTCCATGCCAGATTTTCTACTCCATATTTTAAAGGCAGCCTTTGCACTTTGAATAGCCAAATCTACTTCCTTTTCTCCTGAACACGTGAAAGTAGCGATCACTCGACCTATAAAGAAGAGAAAAGGGTGATTGCAAACTATTGTCACACATTTACAATAAAGTATTATGTATCAGATTGCCTCTTAACGATTGCCTTCCTGCTTTTGAATGTGGTTTTTCAGTGGTCACCCTAATACCAGCAGTTCTTAACTATTATTTGGGGATCACTGACTATCCTGGATTGAATTGTGTCTCTCATGATTCTCTGTGAGTTGGCAACTATGGAATGATGCAATTTGGCCGTTATGTAATGATATATTCCCCCATGATATGATCTGATGTGATCAACCAATCAGTGAGGGTTTGATTAAGGGTGGGATGCAACACCCTTACTCAGATCACCATCTGAGGGGAGTTCCCCTGGGATATGACCTGCATCATCTTCTGTCTACAGGAGATCACGGAAAAGGCAGCAAGCAGAGAGTAGGGGACTTCGGTACCATCAAGAAAGAGACGAGAGCAACATGCACTCTTTACATCGAGGGTTCCCTGTGTTCAGATGTTTAGAACCTCCTAGACCCAGGGGAAAAAGACGCTAAGACAGATGGAGATCTCCAAGGGATACCAGGCCCACAGATCAACATCTCCAAGGGATACCAGGCCCATAGACAAGGACTCCCCCAGAGAAGAGAGAGAATGTCTTCCCCCAGGAGCTGGCACCTTGAATTTGAAATTCCAGCCTCTTTTTTCTTCCCCCAGTCTCTTAAACTGTGAGAAACTAAATCTGAGAACGTCATCTGGCATTTCTATTATAGCAGGACTAGTTAACTAAGATACTAACCCTTCCAGGAATCTAATAAAAGTTGAGATCTCTCTTCAGCACAATGTACTTACCTACATCACAGATTCATAGAGAATTCATGATCCTTTCTCTAAGTCTATCATGGATCAGAGTTAAGAAATCCTGCCAACTTCTATTCTGTAGCTGGATTTTTTAGCATTAGCATTAATTTCCTTTAAATCCCTTTGCAACACTCCTTAACACTGTTGAGAATCTTTGGTCTTACTAAGTCGAAGTTGAAGGTGGTAGCTCCTACATTATGAACTCCGCTTTTAAAATCATGGTCCATGTTCTATGTTGGCTCTTTTATGCTAATGAAACCTGACTAATACAATAAATTGCAGTGTCGAGAAAAGATGTGCCCCCCACCCCGCCCGACATAAGCTAACGGGTAGACAAGTATTAATTTGGGAGATGGGAAAAGATAATATTCTGTAAGAGGACCATGGAAGGGAAAGGGGGTACAGGGGGGTACAGGTCAAGCTATTGGGAGGTTTAAGGTGTTGAATGCAAAATGATTCTCTGGTATGTAAACCCACACCTAATTCACAATAGAAATTAAAAGAAAAGAAAAATGTCTTTTTCCAATATAGAAAACTCCGGTCTTTATTTTTCATACTTCAATTTTACCTTTCCTTATCCCTGTCTGGGAAACTATGAAATGACCAGCATTTCTAGACCTTCAACACAGGACTTGTGAATTCCCCCAAGAACTCTTCCCAGGCCATCAATTGAGCAGTTCCTTTCCCTCCCACAAGAACTCCCAGCACTGGGCTCTTTTCAGGGGAGATTTCACAATATCTGCAATTTCTGCTACAAATGAGCTGACAAGCAGTGACTGAAATAGTACATGGTACAGATAAGGGGCAATTGTTCCTTCTTTTGTGCCACTGGGAGGGGGTAAGGGCGGGGGCGGGACCTAGCTGTTTCCTCCTACTGATGATACCAAAAACAAACTCGCTGCCATCGACAGCACAGGGCACAACTGCCACTGTGAGTTTACAAGCCTGCAACTCTTTGTGGGAATAGAAAGCCGGGTCTTGGGCCCACTGAGCGGCTTCTTGTTTCTAACTGCTGCCCCCCTCCCCGCTTCACCACCACGCCACCAGGGCTCCCCGTCCGAAAAGAGTGTTCATTTCTATGGCCCCCTTCCTGCAAGTCAATCATTCTGGCTACGTGGCCTTCTGTTTTGCACAAACCATGCTTCTCCCCGCAAATACTCTATAAAGCCAGAGTAACAATGCAACGCCTCCGGCGCAGCTGGTGATCTTCAGCGTCACCGGAGTGAATCCAAGCGCAATTGGTGCAAAACAAAACCTCAAAGCACTGCCTCCAGGTCCACTCTGACTCATATAGAGATGAGACAAGAGGTGGCATACAGGTTTGGTGGTTCGTTTCCTCCCTTCCCAATTCTGATTCAGGCACGTAAATCCTTAACATTGGAGCGTGGCACAGGATCCTCACAAGCTCTCCTGAGAAACTGCACACACACACACACACACACACACACAAACACACACACCTGAAGTGGCACAGGATCCTCACAAGCTCTCCTGAGAAACTACACACACACACACACACACACAC